AATGCCATTTGCAAATCAAGGAAAATGATTCTTCCACTCTGTCTGGCACCCATGAGGTCTCACCTGGGGTATTATGTCCTGTTTGGGGCACTGTACTTCAAGAAAAGTGTGGGCAAATTAGAACAGTCCAGAGGGCAGCATCAAAATCTTTAGAGGTCTAGGAAACATGAGTTATGAGAAAAGGCTGAAGGAACTGGGATTATTTCATATGGAAAAGAAAGACTGAGGGAGGATTTCATAACTATCTTCAAATACTTAAAGGGTGGTTATAAAGGAGATGTGACAGACTATTCTCTTTTGCTACAAGGGCAGAACACAAAACAACGTCCCTAAATTGCAACAATGGCTTTTTAAAATGGAAATTAGGAAGACCTTTCTCACTGTGAGATGGTTGAAAATTGATTACCTAGAAAAGTTGTGGAATCTCCCTCCTTAGGAGTGTTCTGCAGCAGGTCAGACAAACACCTGATTGGAATGGTTTAAATAGGGATGAATCTGCTTGAGCCCAGGGTTGGACTAGATAAATTACTGATATCCCTTCCAACCCTACCTTTCTATGATTCGATCACTTGAGTTATTGTTTTTTGTACCAAGAGGCAGTACCTTAAACAATATCTAATTTAATTGTTCTGTATGCTACACATTCTTTACTTACTACTTTTATAAAGGCAAATACCTTAATTGCAACTGCCATTCTAGAACAGCAATTAACTAAATATTTTCCTTCATACAAATACTTAAGCAGAATTTTTCCAACTAAAACATATCCTTGGTTTAGCAGCTCACTTTCTTCATTCTAGAGTTCATTCAGAACTCTAAATTGTGTAACCTCATCCCTTTAAACTATTTACAGTTATCAATATGGGCCTGTATGTCCTCAGTTTACATCTCAATTTATGACCATACTTCATTTTTATGATCTGAAAATGGTAAGTTAGGTGTCTCTCTACAGCACCTTTTCTCAAAAAATCCCCTCTTCAAGTTGCTATTATTATTCCTAGTTGTGCCTTTTCTTCTTTTATAGTCTAGTGATGAACATTTCTGGCAAACTTGCTCTTCCTGCTATGTTGAAGAAAAGTCTTATTGTTTATTTCCACAGCTACTTTATATTTGCTGTTTTCAGTCTTTTCTAACTCTTGTATTTGCCATCATACTTGTTTCTCTTTGATTCAATGTATAGCGCCTTGGCATTATCTTGTGATGTGTAGTGTTCTGTGCTGTCCTCAGATTGCAAAGAAGACTGGAAGGCAGTTTGTTTTTCACATTTTGGGGCTTTTCTGGTTGCCACATGGGGTGGGAAAGGAATTATTTTCCCTTCTAATGCTGGATGTATCAGATTGTTTGGGGCGGGGGGGGGGTTCTTTCTTCTTTTCTTGTCTTCCTCTCAAGCATTTGCTGTTGGTTGCAGCCAAGTTTGGGGATTTTGACGGGGGTGTGCGGATGCTCCTGGTGGGACTATAACCTGGAAGTTTCTAGTTAGGGTGCCTTGTTCTTCAACTCAGTGTCAGACCAATATCTTCATCTGGGATCAGGAAAGAATTTTATCTCATGGTCAGATTTGGGGTTTTTGTCTTTCTCTGTAGCAAGGAGTGTAGTTCTCTTCCTTGGATCTCTCAGGTGTATTTTTACAACCACTCCAGTGGTGAGATATTAACAGTGTCCTTTTCCCCACTTTATCTGTGGCAGGTTAAGGTGTTCATGGTGTTTGGGGGCAATATGCTTCACACATGTGCAACAGGGTTGTTTGTGGAGTTTTAGGAATAGGCAAGACAAACATCTGTATGGGATGTTTTGGATTATGACAATCCTACCTTGAGTAGGGGGTTAAAAAAATGACCTTCTGAGGGCCCTTTCCCCCACATTTTTTTGATTCTATGATCTTTTTTATTGTCAATGATCTAAAATGGGATTATGGTAAATGCTTGAGTCTTCAAGTTGATAATCCTTAACCTGAATTATAAAGGTCTTACTCTGCAATCTTAATTATTTATTTTATGCAAAAGTACAAATTTCCATAGCCTACATAATAATTCACACTGACTCTCTGAAACTCTTAAGCAGCCATCCAAATTCATTAGTATATATGCACACCATATCTTGTTTCTGTATTTCTGACTCTCTCCTAATTCCATTCTAGATGGGAGAGATCAACAACATGAAGACATGGAACCAGAGCACAGTGACAGAATTCATCATCCTGGGTTTTCCATCCACCAAGCACATACAGATTTTGTTATTCATCAGTTTCCTCTTCACATATATCCTCACAATCTTGGGCAACATAACCCTGCTGGTGACTCTACAGAGAGAACCTCGACTGCGGACTCCTATGTATTTCTTCCTAAGCACTCTCTATGTCTTGGAAATTGGGTACACCTCAGTCACAGTCCCAAAGCTGCTTTCAGTCTTCTTGAATAGAGACAGGGCTATTTCCCTCAGTGCTTGCTTAGTTCAGTCTTATTTCTTCTTCCTCTTGGGCTCCACTGAATGTTTTCTTCTAGCTGCCATAGCTTATGATCTCTATTTGGCCATCTGTAACCCACTGAGGTACCCAGCACTTATGAGCAGCAAGATGTGTATTCAATTAGCTTTGTTTTGCTGTGTGACTGGTTTCCTGAATCCCTGCTTGCCCACTTTCTTAGTCAGCAGGCTAAAATTCTGTGGGTCCATTATCAATCTCTTTTTTTGTGATGTTCCACCACTGTTAAGTCTGTCATGTACTGATGCCTATGTTAGTGCCACCACAATCTTCATCAGTTCTTCCATCATAGTCTTGGGTTCCTTCCTGATGACCTCCTTGTCCTATACCTGTATCTTGGTGACCATTCTAAAGATGACCTCATCCAAGGGCTGCCAAAAAGCTTTCTCCACCTGCACTTACCACCTGACAGTGGTCTCACTCTACTATGGCACAGTGATCTTCATGTACACCAGCCCGGAGGCCCAGAAGTCAATGAAGGTCAACAAAGTGGTGTCTGTGGTCTACAGTGTGGGAACACCCATGCTGAACCCTATCATTTACAGCCTGAGAAATGAGGATGTCAAGAAAACCTTGAGGAAAATGTTACTGAACATGTTCCCTGCCAGAAAATGAATGTGTCCAGGATGTAGTTACAAGCTTGTTACCTCTAATCAGCAAAATCCATACTTAGCTACTTAATTGTTAGCTGTTTGCCATACATGTCATGTCCATTGCAGTATAAAAGTGGCAGGAGTGCCTGAATAAAGGCTTTTTCTTTATTAAGGCTGTGGGGTACAGAATGGCTGCATTTTCATCTCTCTGCTTAGAGTCCACTCTGTGGTTCCACAATAAGCCTCCCAACCTGCTTACTATTCTGATCTGGGCTCTTTGTTTTCCTCTTGCCTCTACCTCCCATGCCTGTGAGAGGATGATGGGGAAGGCAAAGAGCAGAGCTGCAGCTCATGGCATCTTCTTTTAGCCAGAGGAGTAAGTGGGCACTTAAGTACCCTGAGTAACAGTGAGGGAGCCAAGCAGCATCAGTGGCTTCACTGCAGGCTATGTGGCAGGAGCTGAGCTGGCAGCCCAGCTATTGCAATTTTTGTGCCCTACCTAAGATTGGTACCTGGGACTGTGCCCTGGTCATCCAGGAAAAGCATAGGGACAGTAAGTGTATTTCCTGGCTGGAATGTATGGGCACCTATATATGTAACAGACTTCCGCTCCAGTGCATGATAATTAGCATGTGTCAGAACAGACTCAATTCGAGTCTGCTGCGAGTCTGCTGGAGTGTCCTAATTAGTGCACTGCAGCAGCCTCCATGTCATGTGTATTCAGCATCCCCAGATTTTGAAATGGTGGCGGGGGCACTTTAACTAAAGTTCATTAAACAAGCATTAGTTAAAGCACCTCCACCACCATTTTGAAGCACGGGACACTAAATACATGTGACACTGCAGGTGCTTTAATTAGAACGGCTCTAAGAGACAACTAGTGGATGTGTAGCTAAGTATGAACCAGATAGGTATGTAAAGTGAAATAGGATTCCATCCTAAAAGTTCACATTCATTCAGTGGTTTTGAAAATCTCAGGCTCTTGAACCCCTGTGACTCTTCATTTGTGTCTCTGTTTATCTCACTTTTCCCATTTATATCATAATGCTATTGTCACCATCATAGTGGCTGGCACATATTCAATATAACAAATACTTTTTTGTGATTAAATGTATGAAGCTAACACAAATACAATCAAAGGACTTTCACTCCTTGGGCCACATGAGATTATGAAATAGATTGGGCCCCAGGAGATGGGAATTTCAATTAAAATATACCCACAGATTTCCAAGCATACCAGATTCACCAGGAATGGTGATGCAAACTGTAGGTGAAAAATGAGTCAAACAGACAAAAGAGGTACACAACTCCTGTTTTCTGTAGTTTTTATATTCACTTTTGTTATCATGCATACATGTTTAGTTTAATAATTAGAGGACTCTGGTGGTGGTAAACTTGGATTCAAGACTTTTTGGGCAGAGGAGGGATGAACATCTGTCTGTCTGTCTGTCAAACACTTCAGTTAGTCTAGTAAAAGATATTGCATTTACCCAAAGAATCTTGTCTTCCTGGAAAGTTTTATGTATGCAAGAGAGAGAGAGAGAGAGAGAGAAAGAGAGAGACTTTTAAAGCTTTATTATAAAAATGATAATAATAATAAAAATGCCCAGAGGTTAAAGTGAGAAAGAAGTGGAGGGCATCATTAGATAGATAGATAGATAGATAGATAGATATGTGATGATGCCCTCCATTTCTCTCTCACTTTAACCTCTGGGCATTTTTTTTTCTTTTTATAATAAAGCTTTAAAAAGAGCGCTCTCTCTCTCTCTCTCTCTCTCTCTCTCCCCACTTGAATACGTAAAACTTTATCTTCCAGACAGACAAGATTCGTTGGGTAAATGTGATATCTTTTATTTGACCAATTAATAATTGGAAAAATTGTTCTTTGCAAGCTTTTGGGTACAAACATCCTTCTCCAGGCATAGGAAGAGTCTGCTGGTGTTTTGTGTGCTTTCCTGGGTGGAATAGAAGCCAATATGCATAATGCAGGTCTGTGAAAATGCAAGTGTGCGGCAGTGAAGATCAGAGGTAATGGGAGACAGTAGGTGACAGACAGGTAGGTTGAGGCGAGGGGAATGTTGACCTGATGATACAATGTAGCTGGTAAAATGTAGAGAGGTTACCCTAGGTACTTGTAAAAAGAAGTACTAAATAGCTGTACAGCCTATGTACATAGTAAATTTACTATGCAGTAAAGCCAAATAGCATTAATTGCACATGTAGACATGCCCACAGGCATTCTTAAGGAGACCAAATTTCTCCTAATTTAAATGGGAATTGGACATGTAAATCCTTTTTAAATATGTTTGAACATCAAAACATGAAGCTATTTGTAGGTTAAATCTATTTCACTTCCTGCTCCCTTGAAAAGAGAAAAAATCAGTCGCTGTTATTGATTCTTATTGGTGACAGATTATTTTAAAGTAGTTACAACTCAGAGAGAATCCTCAAATGCAGGGTATTTTATCAGTATTCAGGTAAAAGTTGAAGTTTTGGGGATAAGAAAATGCCATCCAGAGGTTTTCTGAAACACGAGTATATAACCAGTGGTCTCTGGAATCAGAAAAAATGAAGAGATTGATTATGTGTTAGGAAGGCTGACATGCTTTCTAAATGTCCTGTACTTCTATCACTTCTGCTCTTTTGTTCAGCTCTAGGGGCTTCAGTGAGATGTGCCTATGTGCATGCGAGTTTAGACTTTGTCCAGGAATATCCTGCCTGTATGCCAACAAAAAATAAAGGAAAAAATTAGCAACACTTTCAGCTTAGGATATTATTGTTCTGTCCTCTCTTTCAGATGGTAGAAAATTCATCTATAGAGACATGGAACCATAGCTATGTGACAGAGTTCATTATCTTGGGTTTTCCTGCTTCCCGACAGACACAGCTCCTACTCTTTGTTCTTTTCCTAACCATTTACCTCCTCACCATAACAGGTAACATTTTGATCATTACAACACTTAGGATGGAAAGCCACCTATACACCCCTATGTACTTCTTTCTAGGGAATTTGTCCTTTCTGGATATGGGTTATACCTCCGTGACAGTCCCCAAATTACTTTCCATCCTTCTTACAGAAATGCGAACTATCTCTTTTGCTGGCTGTGTCCTGCAGTCTTACTTTTTCTTCTTCCTTGGGACAACTGAGTGTTTTCTTCTTGCAGTGATGGCTTATGACAGATATGTGGCCATATGTTACCCACTCAGGTACTCAACTATTATGAGCAAACGAACAAGCATACAGCTGGTCAAAGGATCCTGGATTGGGGGCTGTTTGTCTCCACTGATGCCTGCCATCCTATTGGCTGGTTTACCTTTCTGTGGCCCCAATATAGTCAATCATTTCTTTTGTGATATCCCACCACTGCTGAAGTTGGCATGTATGGACACCTATGTAATGCAGAAGCTCATATTCATGCTTTCTGCCATGGTGATTCTGGGGACCTTCATCTCTACAGTTGTCTCTTACATCTATATTGTCATCACAATAATAAAAATCCCTTCCGCTGAAGGGAGACATAAAGCCTTCTCCACCTGTGCCTCACACCTGACTGTGGTCTCACTATACTATGGGACAGTGATTTTCATGTATGTGAGCCCAAAGGCACGATCCTCCTTGAACATGAACAAAATTGTATCAGTTGTGTACAGTGTGGTAACCCCAATGCTAAACCCAATGATCTATACTCTAAGGAACCAGGACATGAAAAAGGCCTTGAGGAAAATATTCCTAAAAGTCCAGTTCCACAGGAAAGAATATGACTAGCCCAAGTAATTTTATTTCTGAAAATTGTAAAGAATTTTTGCTTGAGAAAACAGTGAAATCTTCTTAAGTCATTTAAATGTACATGGAATGATGCTTTGGCATGCTGGTAAACTCTGAAATAATGGGAAAAGAAGTTCCCATCACAAGCCAGTAGACAACAATGTTCACGGGAGATTTTGTTATAAATGAATGAAACTCATTCCATTTCCATGGACAACTGGAGGTCTGCCAAAGACACATATGCTCTAAAGAAGAAATACTGTCTTGTTATTAAAGCACTGGATAGGAGATCTAGCTGATGTAAATGACTTAGTTACAGACTTTGTCTCTGACAATAAACTCAGTTTGTGAGAGGAGTCAAAGAAAATTAGAAGGGAGTTAGAATTCAATCACCTTTGGTCACCTAAATATCATATATTTTCTTAAAATCCCACCTTTAACAAAACAAAAAAACCCTCAAATCTTTCCTCAGTTCTCTGTTTTCGCATGAGAAGAATGAGTAGCAGTAGTCTTCTGAAACAAATATATTCATTTTCTTGTCTGGTGCTATTGTCATCAAAGTTCCAGATAAGGGCACAAATAAATGAATAAATATAATGACACAAGGGCTGTTTTTTTCAAGCCAAAGGGATGATTTTATCAAGATGTAAATTTGCTATAAAACTTGTGCTTATACATCTGGTTTCTACAAACATATTTTGACTCATTAACTTCATAAACCTAAAAATTATTTTATTCGCATGTTGTGAATTTAAGTGTGATGCTTGCTCTTGACTGATATTAAGTAGGTCAAGACTTAGATGGATAATAGACTATGACAGGGATTTTCAAAAGAGTTTGAGGGAATTAAATCCAACTCTCACTGATCTTCAAAATTTCATTATTTTTTTATTATTCTGTCACTGCTTTATGTCTTTTGTGACTTTGTTTGTTCTTTTTTTTTGTCCCTTCAGATGTTGTCTTTGATGTTGATGTGCATTTCTTTGTATAAATCTATTCACAGTATATAGTTTTACACTCAGTGAGAAGTGTGGATCTTTTATTTTGTTTTGTTTTTTAACCCAAATAGTTATATTGCTACTATCTCAAGTGTGGACTCAGTTTTAGCAATATAGAGATATCTTACCTGGTACAATCTATTTTATTTCTAATACTAGAAAAACTCATACCATTATAAACACTTTTAGTATCTATTTTCAATGTAATGTAGGCATTCAAACATGCAGATAATTTCTGTCAGTATATAAGTGCCTTACACTCAAAGTACTCAACTATGAATTAATCAACTACTGAGTTTATATGGTTTTCAAATTATATTTAGACTGTCCTAGGGCCACATGCATAAGTGGGGTTTGGAAAAGATAATGAAAGCACACAGGAAAAATCAAAATTGTCCTTTGAAGTTTACTAAAGCAGAGTACAGAAGACAGAATCCCTTTCTGTAGCGGTTATAGAATGAAGCTGGAAAATAGAAGACAAGAATTCTTCCAGTCTCTTGGAAATGAGAGACATGTTTGAATCTTCTTAGTCTAATGGAATTCTACAACTTGCATCTTCTACTTGATGGGCAAGTAGTCTAAACAGAAAGAGATATTGAAAAGTGGGCATTAGCAGCCCCCCTCAAAAAAAAAATCCACAAAAAACAAGTCCAAAATAAATGACCTTGAAGATCCTGTTCAATTGCCATTTAACTTTGGAGGGATCTAACCTCAGATCCTGTTCTAATTCAAAGAAGACTAAGTGGAACTTGTCCATTATTTAGCAACACACAAACATTTATTAATACAGCTACTTTTTAACGTGCCTTCATATTATGGTTAAGACTTCTCTGTCAGACCTGGTCCATGGGCTATAGATTGCCAGCCCCTGATCTAACCCAGTAGGGGCCAACTTTTTTGGCAGATATAACACAGTTAAGCCACTCTGATGATCTCCCTCTTCCCAATATGTTACTCTACTTTCTGCTGCCTGCCCCCACCCTGATCTGCTGCATACTGTACAGAGACTACACATCTTTTCCAATCTCCCCATATATATCTACCATTCCACAAGCTGGTCACCCATGATCTACCCTATGATGTGTTGGCTGGAGCACTGCGTTCTTGAAATTAAAGAGATTCCGTTTCAAAATTTTTCTGTGAGGGATGCCTAGATCTGGGGACTCTGGTTTCCTACAGGAGTTTTCTAGACTTAAATCACAGAAGGGCCCTCACCTCTCAAGAACAACCAGGTGGACAAATAGAAAATGGCCACTTTGCCCAAGGAAAATGGAATTCCACTCTTTGATTTAAACAGTCACTTGATAAAATGAATAAAAAGCATTTGGAGCAGGGACCTGGGCTCAGGGCTCATATCAAGGAGTGTCCTCCCCTCTGTATTAGACTTAGGCTCCCCCTTGCTTGCACTTCTTTTGCTCCTATGACTTTTGGCCTTTGCCTCTGTGCTCTCCAGCTTCCAAATTTCCAGACCCACGGGAGCTCCACAGGCTAGATGACACAGCAACATGGGCTGTATCTAGCCTGTGGGCCAGGAGTTGAACACCGTTCATTACTAGGACCATTCATATGAACATATTAAAAAAAGATGTCATGAGATTGAAGCTGTATTTTTTTCTTCCAGAATTGCCAACCCCATACATGAAAAACTTGTAAGTTTCTCAGATGGTTCTTGATGGTTATCTAAATTTGAGCTTTTTTTGATTACCTCATATGTTCTGAACCTTTAAAATTAAACTGAGCTTCTACTCCGTAGCACCAGAGGTAGAAACTTGGGGTGACATTCTGTTATCTCCTTTTCATCTAGACATGCAGAACTGGCCATATAAGCGCCACATAAGCACAGCTTAGTGTTTTATTCCAGGACACGTAGATCTGCAAATGAATAACTATACATGTGCTCAGATAGAGCAATGTGGAAGTGGCTGGCCTGTGACAAGGTGATCAGTAGGCTGCGCTGGGAAGTCCAGGACACCTAGGTTCAAGCCCCCTATAGGTGAGATGTGGTCCAGATCCCAGGACCACCATCTTCCTGAGTGCCCACGCACCTGACAGATGGGGGCAACAGAGGGATATGAACATGCAACTGGTGTCTGTTTCAAATGTGAATTCTGGTAAAAAGGAGTTTGGGATGAATCCATTCTTGGGAGATCTAAGGCCACAAAGCGTCTGCAGGGTGCTCATGTGCAGGCCATAGCCACTACTGCACATGCCCAGTTTGCATGACTATGTAGACTATTCTCCCAGGAATAGAAAACCAATCAGTGCATGTGACATTTAATTTTCAGTTTAAACTACCAAAATAGTTATATGGATGATCAGATCTGGATGTCTAAAGACCAGGAAGGGAATAGAATATCATACTTGAGAGCTAGAGTTTCTCTCTATATTTCTTAAGTATGATAAAAGTCTGGCCTGCACTTTGAGAGTGATTTTGCAAATTACACTTAGGGTATGCCTACACTGCAATCAAAGTTGTGACTGCAAAACATGAGCTAGATTTAACCTAACCAGTTTGGGTGAGTATGAGTAGCAGTGAGGATGCAGTGGCACAGGATTTAGCACAGACTAACAAGCCCCTCTGCAACTCTGTATACACAAACAAATGCTAATCCATATTAAAGTGATGTTGCTACTCCTTCTTCACTGCTTTCAATTCGAGAGGATGTTGGCTTAGATAAGTCCACATGTCTTGAAATACCACTTGTAGTTGCACTGCAGACATCTTTTCATCTATGTTTGCAAAGCTTTAAAGTATGTTTTAAATGTGTTTGTTATTATTTGTCTATTATGACTCTAGCAGCATATATACATCAAATGCACTATTAGTTACATTTCTTTGGAATTTATAAAATTAATACCATTTTAAAACAGGTTCTATTAGCAGAGATGTGGCAACAGTTATGATGGCTTTAGGAAATGCTATTATTACATAGGTTTCAAACAGTTCCTAGTTCATGTAGTTCCCAAATCCAAGGAAAAACTAATGCTACCTCAAATTGGAAACATCCTTTACTGATATACAGTGTCTCCAGTATGCTGAACTTGTAAATCTTGTAAAACAATCATCAAAATGTCATTAGATAAATCTTGAGTTTGTGGACCTTGCCTGCCTTAAAGGAAGTTCTACTATTGAACATCAACTATTACCTACAGCAGACTATGGCTATTTTGATACTTACAGAAAAAATGTACTCTGCGTGTGTGTGTGTGTAGGCTTGTAACTTGTTTTTGTGAAAATAAAAGTCGTCATATAAAATGTTAAAAGAAGAAAGTTTAGTGCTACTTTAAGCACACATTGAACATCAACCATACTTATTGAGACAAAATGAGTAACCTCATTATATATTATATATGATATTACATCATACTGGTTGATTTTCAATGTGTGCTTAAAGTAGCACTAAATATTTTCTATGAAGACTTTTATTTTCACAAAAACAAGTTCCAAGCCCCTCCTTTCTTCATGGGCTGAAAGGATATTCTACCTTTTTTTTGTTTGCTTGCTTTGTTTTCCCCCTCATTACTCAGTTGCTTTTGTAATACAAATACAATAGTTTTCATAGGAGAGGTGACCAGTATTCTTATTTTTTTCAATACAGGGATAAAACAGCGTAGTAAATAAAAAGAACTTAATTTTTAAAGATGGGAACTCTGACAACAATCAAAAGGCATCCTTCTTCAAAAAATGTGATTAAGATGTGAATTTCATGCCAGAACAAACCAGTGAGGGCACAAATGTAACAAAATGAGAAAAGAAAAAAGAGCAGCATACTTACATGTGCATCACAAGTTTCTAAATTTGTCATATGTGACTATATAGATACTAATATTACATTGAAAACAATATTATATTGGAAATAATATTACATTTACTATGTCATGGCTTAAACTAGTCTCTATTAGGGATCCAAAAGCAGTATATAAGTGAACAGTTTATCACAGCATTTCTCAACCTGTGGATCGCAATGCAAAAGCAGGTTCCAAGAATATATGAAAGGGTCACAAACAAACTGAAAACGGCTCAACGACTTTAAAAATGGATTCTTCTTTAAAGGAGAAAAATGTGGGAAACTATGGATTTCCCCATGCAGGCTAGCAGAGTTCCAGCCTGCAAGGGCTTGCTTGGGGTCCCCACTGCCACACACGGTGGGGGGGCTAGGGCCTGGGGGCGGGAAACGGTGGGTCGGGAGTGAGGTGCACTGGGGCGTGATTGGCCATTGATGCTTATGAATGGGTCCTGGTACAAAAAAGGTTGAGAACCACTGGTTTATCACATATTTGCCAACTGCAGGATTTTTAGATCTTTATTTGAAGCATTTTAGTATTTCTACTGCTTAGGACAGGGCACTGATTCAGACTGGGAATTCTTATTTTCCTCTTGCACATTGTATCAAAATATATTATTGTGCAGTATTAAAAAAAAAAAAAATGTTTGCTTCATTTTTATATGTAAATGACTGGTGGTGGCATGTTCTATGAAAAAAAAACAGTTGAACTATCACATTTAAAAAAATATGATTGGGGTGATTGAGTTAATATTCTCCAGAGGACTTCTAAAATTGTAAATATTTTTTTTTCCCCCAAGGCACGTGTTTGGGTTGGATTTAACCTCCCTGGACTGACAGTTTAGAGATTTCTCTCTTCATTAAATGGTTGAGAGAAGTTGGATCAATAATTTCAAGATTCAATTATTTAGAGATGTTTTGATTTTTTGAGTTGCTTCCCTAGGGAAAACTTGTTCTTGGAAAATTATTTTAAAGTTACTTTCTTCAAGTCAAGTGGGAGATAGATCTGTTGAAAGTTGCTAAGTTAAAGCCTAAAAAAAAACAAAACAAAACAAAAAAAAAACAAAAGAGCAAGAGAGAGAGACAAATGAAGGAATGACATATTGGTATCTGCTACAGACAACCAAATCTGAAAGAGAAGATGGACAAAGTATAGCAGCACCAGGCCTGAGGGTGTCTGTGATACCCCTTGATGGCTGCCTGAATCCTTCCCTGCTTGCCTACTCTGGCCTCTCATGGTCTCACCCTATTGCCATGCCTGCCACACCTTCCTGATAAGACACAAATAGAGAGGCTGCCTTCATACGCTAATTGTTATGATCACTGGTAATTCAATCCAGAGCAGACAAGCCAGCAAATAGGAAAAAGTCCCTGGTGCCGCAAGGCGGCTGGTCAGACATCAGCCCGAACCCAGTCTGGTCACTCCCATGGGGACATTGAAGAGAAGTTGGGTGAACAGAAGAACCTATGGGAACCATAGCCCCTATCAGAGGACTATAAATCTCTCCTATTTCTTGTGGGACCTGTCCCAGCAATTACATACCAATGTGTGCTTCTGGACCTCTGCCTCACTCCATCCTGACTCCAGCCCTGCTCCTGCATGATCCCATACTCACCACAAATCCTGCCCCTGTCCTACCCCTGCCCTATTTGGATCTTGTCTACAATATGCCCTGACCACAGTACTTGCTCAATCCTTGTCCTGACAACTCAGATTGCAATGGGTGCCTGATGTGAACCCATCCTGCCTAGGGTAACTTGTTAAGTAACTGTCCATGGCCTGAACAGTTTTAACATTCATGAGCTCTGTGTGCTCCACATAGTTATGTTCATTCTCAGGCTCATCTTTATGTCCAGTGCAGGACTCCTCCCCTTGGTCTTGGCCCAAATGGGCTCACTTGATTTGGGGCTCAAACCCCATTATACAGCCTGTTTCTGGGGGTCTGACACTACCAAACTCAGTCTCTCTCTCTCTCTGGGGTTCTGACTGTTCTGGATACTGGCTCTTAATGTGGGGCTCCAAACCCTCTGGGAACTGGCTCTCAAAAACTGGAGCCCATCAGCCACAGTCATGACCCAATGGCTCTAATTGCCTCGAGGGCTACAATCATGGCCTCCTCCAACCACCCATCCATACCCATTACTTACAGATATTACTTTGTCCTGTTGTGCTCTGGGACTTGTTCCCCAATGCTGTGGGACACACCAGGTCCCTGACCCAGGTGGGACTACTACTTTTTTGTCACACTGGACTCCTAGCCCTACATCTCTCTCACACTGGGCTCCTGGGCCTGTACTGGATCTGTGACTAGGAAGGACTGCTGCCTCCATCTGGTAAAACACTTGGGTTCATCCCAACAGTCTACAAGATCCCAGACCCTTGCAGGGCTCTCTCATTATGCCTTATCCTCTTGTACCCATGGCTTCCAGACCATCCACCACCATTGGAGAGGGAGCTAATCATGAATGATGCAAAGAATTCCAAAGCAATTAATACCATTTGTACCTTGGTCTTCAGTTATCAGATGATAAACAACAGTTAGTTTCATGGACAAGGAGAAACTTTCTGCCCAATGTAAAAAAAGAAAACCCACTTAGAGGATGATGCTTACAAAAAGAAAGAAAAATGCAGAAATGTATACGTTATATTTATTTGCAAAAATGGTCTCATATAAAACAAAAGTTGTAATGGTTATGTCACCTGCAGCCCCACTCTATGATATCATACATACTATAGAAAAGACCTGAGGACTACAATTTGGTCCAGGTAAAATGTGGGAAAAGAATAAAGAAAAAAAATACTGCAGTAACCATCAATGAAGAAACTAAAATCCTAAACATGGCATTTTTGGCATTCATGCACAAGTAGGAATCCTATTCACTCTTTCTGATTGGATATCCCCAAATGAAAGTATCCACAATCACTCCTCACTTAATGCTAAATCATACTTCATGTATTTGCTTTTTAGTGCCCAAGTGGCATTGCAGGTAACTGTGCAATTATCATTTTTGGCACATAAACAGATTTAGATACTATTTTAACTTGCAGTGGAATGTGGTCACCTGGCTAAACATACAGCACTGCACAAGTTGGAAGTACTTAGAGCATTTACGAGGCGACTGTGAGATACAGGCATATCTGCCTTCTTGACCCCAAGGTGTTTTGAACCTTCATTCCCTATTTTCTAAGCAAAGCATCCTAACATTCAAGGCATGCATTAGACATTGCTCAGAGCACTCTTCATCCCTTCTTTGAAGCTGGCTCCTGAGCAGGCAAAAAGAGAAGATATATGTGGTGAGAAGCAGTGCAATTCAGAGTGAATGTGGTTTTTGGTGATGGACATCAGTTGGGAAGGATATGTGTCCTGGATTTTTGTTCCTGGCCACTACAGCTTCTTTGCAAATAAAGTTTACTGGATAAAATGGATAAACACCAATGGGATAGCTCTTGCTTCTTTTGGAGGCAGGGTCAAGGACTAGAACCCTCCCTTCCAGGGTTATGACATCTCACTGAGGTACTCTCTTTTTAGCTTCACCCCATATGTTCGCTATCACAATCAGCTTGTGATCATTTGCAAATATATTAAGGGTGGAATTACGTTTTAATTAAGTGACCTAATTGTGATGTCTTTCCTGATCGTCTAAGTGGGCACTTCCTGTTATTGGACAGGGCATTTTTGGCACTCATTTACCCAGAGAATTTCTATTCCTGGATGAATCGGTCTGTGCACGTGGATGAATAGGCTTGACTACAGAATTCCACAGTAGGGCTGTGCAAAGCTTTGGTTGCTGATTCAATTCAGTGGAGATTTGGTGACTGGTGCCTCCTGGGTCTGGGGTGGCACCTAGGGTCCCCCTGTGGCTGATCGTCAAGCTAGGGAACTGTGGGGAGGGGAGGGTCCCCCGTGTGCTTGGCAGTGGACCCGGAAGTGGACTGGAGGTACTTCTGGTTCCCTTCCGAGTCCACCACCAAGCACCCCCACACTTCTGTGGGATGCTCCATCTGCCCCACCATTGTAGCATTCACGAGCCATGCCTAGTACCATGAGGTATGTAGAAAAAATCAGGTGTTTTGTGGCTTCCATGTATTCTGGTTTGTGCTACCTGCCTGTCACCTTGTTTCCTTGTAAATTTCTGAGTGAGATAGGATAGTCATGGCCTTGATTTACTTCACATTGAGGACAGGTTTATGAAGTCTCCACTAAGATATTCAGTGTTTGTCCGTCCCCCTTCTCCCCTGCAGCCAAGTTGTTACGTACGGTTCAGAGTTACTGAATACTATGTTAAAAAGGTGGCAAAATTGCATCAACTATTCTAATCAGGTGTTCTGTGACCTCCACCTACTCTGGTTTGTGTTACATGCCTGTCACCTTGTTTCCTTGTAAATTTCCAAGTGAGATAGGATATAAAATACGTTTTCTCAAGGACCTCAGGAACAAGGTGTTTCCGATCAATTTTAATGCAATAGAACTTAATTCCCTCCATTTACTTTCCAGGGATAAGAGGCTTATTACTAAACTACTGCGTAAATATATTTTGGGATCTATCCAGAGCCAATTTTACTGGTACAGGTGTTTGGTGTATAAGATATATTAAATTAATTATTAATTGAATTGCCATCCAAATAGCTTAAAATAAAGATAAATAAGGCTTAACTGAAATAAATTAACTTGATCTAAACAATGTTTCAAAGTCTAACTAAAACACTTGTGCTGGTCCTTTTAATGTCATATTTTACACATTCACTGGCATGTCATATTTTATATTTTTAGAATAAAATACATCACCATTTGTGTTAAAACATTATCCAGGAAAGTGTACTCATAACATCCCAATACTATGTTTCCCATATTTCTGTAAAATAAATTATTTTAAGAGAAATTATTGAGAGAGATTGTTTTCCATTAAAAATAATAAAAATTAGTATTTACAGTTGTATTCTATTTACATGAGTTGAGAACTTGAATTTTTTAGTGAAAATTCTGCCCAAGGCTGTTTTTACTTCTTTATTTTTCAGACTATAGATGATGGGGTTTAACATGGGGGTTAAGATGCTGTACTGGATGGAGACAACTTGATCGAGGATCACTGAAGAGCTGGAACTGGGTTTCATGTACTGAAGAAAACCTGCTGTATACAATAAACCCACCACAAGGAGGTGGGAACTGCAGGTGGAGAAGGCTTTACGTCTACCCTCTGCAGAGTGTATCCTCAAGATGGTGAAGATGATATGTATGTAGGAAACCAATGTGAGGAGGAAAGTGCCAAAACCAAGGATGACAGCACAACAAAGAAGAGCTATTTTGTTTGTGAATGTCCCAGAGCAGGATATTGCTAGTAGTGGGGGAAGCTCACAGCTGAAATGCCCAATTTCATTGGGCCCACAGAAGTGCAACTTGAATACAGGAACCGTGTTAACAAGTGAATACATAAGACCCATTGTCCAAGATCCACCCACTAGCTGCCTGCACACCCTTTTGTTCATAGTCCTGGCATAATGCAGGGGGCTACATATGGCAGCATAGCGGTCATAAGCCATGGCTGAGAGCATGGATAATTCACAAGTACTTGAAAGAAGGATGAAGAACATCTGGGTAAAGCAAAGATTAACAGAAATAGATTTATGCGTTGCTAGTAAGTTTGCCAGCATCTTCGGGACAGTGACTGAGGAATAGCAGATATCGACAATGGATAGATGAGACAGGAAGAAATACATGGGGGTATGAAGGTGAGAGTCAGCTCTTATCACCAACATGATGACTGTATTCCCTGCTAGGGTGATTAGGTATATCACCAAAAACACGCAGAACAGTAAAATTTGAACCTGTGGGTCACTGGAAAGTCCCAAAAGAATAAATTCAGTCACATTGGTTTGGTTTTCCTTTCCTAGGTAGTAACCTGTAAGAAGAGCAAAATATTTGGAATTAACATGATGCCGGTGAAAGGAATTTCCATAAGACAGAAATAAGTATAGACAGACAGATGGACTCCATGATAATTTCAAAGTCAACTAATGGGTTTGAATAGGCAACTCAATTGAGAAGCAGGTTTCCAGCTCTCAATGATTTCAAATTTAGAATTTTGGTTTTTGTGCAAATTTCCTTTTCGAATTGTGTGATTCCCAACATACTGCCCAAGTGACAAAGGACCATGGTGCTTTATCTAAGTTTTCCAGGACAAGTCCCTGCCCTGTGGCAAGGAACATAGAAGCTCTAACAGATGTGGCTCTAGCTGGTGTTCCCCAGGCGTCTAGATATTCTGCTTTGCAACTGAGAGCCGATGTTCGTTTAGAGCCAGACCCATCAGGGCTTTCAGGATTGTGTCTCCATAGCAAGAAACATGCAGGTCCTATCCTGATGACAGTCAAGAACCGGGCACCCTAGAATCTTGGTGAACCTGGACCTAGGACACTTCATCTGATGGCACTTTCTTCAAGTCAAGCCATATAGGAAATGAACTGGGTGGACATTTCTTTGAGAAGGAAAGAGATCTGCTGCTGCCTTCTGGCCCAGAGGAAAGCAAGGAAGCAGCAAACATCCATTTTCACATAAAAGATAAGTGTTTCAAAACAAACTGCAGCTCCTATTTATTCTGAGTGCTGATGTATTCTGCTCTCACTAAAATCCATTTAATCTAGTGATTTCATATTGGCTGTAATACAAATTTCCTTGTTGGGTCTTCCTCCTCTGTTGAATCAATCTTAAGTAACCCTATTATTATTGGATTTTACTCCCTTTTTGCCCTGGTAACCTTAACAGACCGTGTTGTATATGAACTAAAGGAATCTGGCTACTTACAAAGTAAATGGAACATCATTTGAAAGCCCAGATCACTGACCTGAATCTGCTCAGACAGCCCTTGTACACATTTGTTGACCTACCAAATTGCAGGCACATATTATTATGGATTTTGTTGCAGAGTTGAGAGCAATTCAATTTCAAACCCACTCTGAAGTTTTCCCTGTTTTCTCACTTTGACCATATACCTGAATAAAATCACATTATTTGTCCAGCTGTTTAATCCCATTATAAAAGAGCAATCATGAAATAAACCAACATGCATTCTTCTTAATTTGTCACTCTTGCTCATTCTTATTTTCTGGCAGCATCTTTCATCCTGTATTTGTTTGGTATACAAGTCTTCATCGTAGCGTCCATGCATTTAAATTAATTGCTAAAATCCTGCTTATTATACTGAACAACCTTCATTAATGTATTTTACAGTATTAAGTAAAACCATCTAAATGTTTGTCTGTGGTTGGGCAATGTAGCTAACCAATAGAGAATTAAGCAAACAAAAATATCTTTTTCCTGTTTTCCCTATGTTCTAACACAGAACATAACATGCACACAAAAACACGGTGAGATTTTGGTAGCTATGTAGTTTTCATTTGTCAAAAACCAGACCTTTCTTTAGGGGGTCGGACTCGATGATGGGGGTCGGACTCGATCTATTGAGGTCCCTTCCGACCCTAACATCTATGAATCTATGAATCTTATAGCTTTGCATCCAATCTAAAGCTAGGGACAGTTAAAACAAAATATAACAAAACAGAAAGTGGTAGAAGGATGAAACAAAATAATCTAAAAAATTAAAACTCTTTCCAAGAAATCTGAATGGGTTTCTTGGACCAGCCCTAGCTAGTAATGATGTTTTAACCATGACTATTTGGCACCCATTTTAACTCCACACTTTCAAGTTGCCATACAACAGGGATTTTATGGGGAACAAGTCTTATACTCTTCATGGTTTTCAAGTCAACAGCGAAGTTCCCATTCCTTGTGTTGAGTCAGCACCACCTAGCAGAACAGCACTCAAGGCAAAAAGGACTGGAGAGCACAAATGAGAAAACTCAAATAGGGGTCGGAATAGACACAGGAATGTTATGGGGACTCACTCAGGAGGAGGAAATCCGTGTTTCTTGTGCTTGCTCCAGAGAGTGCTTCTGTTTTTTCCATGAAACTGCCACTGGGAAGAAAAAACGACAGGTCAGCCCTGACTGTTCAGTCGACAACTATGGAGACACCCACAGCAAAATTAATGCCTTCATTGCCTGGGTGGCACTACAGACTTTTCTGGGCTCCTAGATAAACAGGTTTGGTCATCTAACCGCAAGAAATGTCACTGACATATGGGCAGTTACTATTTCTGTGGTATGTATAGCTATGTGCATGGATGCCTACTTACATCTCAAGAAGTGGAATGTCACCCCGTTGTTTCAGTGGTATTTTGGGGACTTAGATAATCATGCACACAACACATTATAGGCATGCAGAAATAGGAGAATGTCACACTAGGCTTCAGCCTCATGACTTGGTGGTTTGAGTCATCTCCTTTGGGGCGTGACTTTGAGTCCCTTAAAACAGAGAGGAAATTTAATATTGGCGCCCCATGTTCTGGGTATGGATGCTCAACACTGAGCTACGGATTGAACAATATTGGTGTTCCATGTGTGCTAAACACTGAGCTACTGATTAAAAGGAAAGCAGAACCAGACACATTTTAAAGCAAGATTTTGACACCACTGAATTTAGGTAGAAACCCATTGTGTGTTGTGTGTGTGTGTTAATTGTGCTCTGAGAAACCCTAGCAGATTAGGTCTTATGTGGATCTGCCCCAGAGGATATCAGCTTGAAAATAAACCCAGGATCATCCAGTCCAGTCCAAAGTATTTGGAGCACATTTATTATGTCCCCCATGTTTAATGATCAGCCTATACACATTTATGGACAGTTCATACACCTTTTTGTTTCACATTCTTACACTACTCTTTCATTTAAACAGCTCTTTCACCTCCCTTCCTCTTACAACCTCCCCCGCCCATCCTCCCCATACTTGCAGAAAGCCTCCTTTTTTCCCTGATATACCCATTTTTACCAGGGCTTGACAAGGCAAATTCTTTTAGACAATGTCCTTGCTCATCCTGATTGGTCTCAGTTACATCTGTTCCATTTTTTAATCATTTTTTTTTGAAGACTGGTCACCAGAATTGTATACATTATTCAACGTGAGGTCTTTCAAGTACCTTATGTTATTTTGAAATCACACACACACGGGCACAATTTATACCTAGTTGTAAACAGTTATATAGGTGACATTAGTGTATTATGCTACAATAAATATACACATAAATATATAAACACATTAATTTATATATACTCTTATAGTACTTCAACACGGGTGCCCACCCACTGGATTAAAGAATAAAATATAAATGCACTCACTGAAAACCCATGCAGAAAATGGTCATGTGATGTCTGTCCCTTAGCAGAGACAGAGAGGGAAGAGATTCTGTTGCTCTCACTGAAGTTCTCCACTGCTTTATTCAAAGAATGGGGCTACTGATGTTATGGAGACTGCTGTAAGAGGGAGATAGTCAAAAGGAGAAGGAGTAACACAGTCAATTCAGTGGTTGCTTAGTCCATTTTTCTATCGTCCCACCTCGTCACCCTATCTATCTCTTTCTCTCTCACAAAGAGGGGACACAAGAATACAAGTTACTCTCTACCCTGAAAAAAGTCAAACTGATGGAGTATTATTTGTTTCTGGATCCAATAGACGTACCTCCTTTTACTGCTCCTCCCCTCTAGGAAACAAAGAGCCAATAGTTTCCAGGCTCTGGGACTAAACATTAATTTGAGAATATAAATATTTTCTGAGTACCTCCGGGACAAAGTATCTCTTGTGTAATTACATAACTGTGTTTTGCTCATCAATGGGCTGTTTTACAAGCCAGAATATGACAGACTTAGATTGATGCATCTGTTTTGACTCTGTTTGAACGTTGATTTATCTGTAGATAATTGGCAGCTGATCATATTATAAAAATCCTTAACCCAATGGAGTTTCACCACTTTCTCCAATTGTATAAAACTAAGCATTTATTGGTCAACTCTGCCAGCAAAGGAATTGTCCTTGTCCACAGGTTTGGACACACATGCGTTGCAAGTGCTTCAGATATGATGTCCCATTACTGTAAAATAATACAGGCCCCACCCCCTGCTGCCTTGCTTCATAATGTTCTGCAGCTGTTACTCCAGCACCGCTACTGTAATGCTGTGTAGCTATGTGGCTAGTGAACAGACACCCCAGTGTTCCTTTTGGCCGTGCTCCATAGAGGCTTCTGAAGACAGAAGAATTGCAGTAGCAGGGCTTTCTGCTCAGGTCTCCCTACCATTTTGTGACAAGTCATTTTCACAACAGACAGCCTGGTCTCACCCTTTGCCTTCACCACGAGAGCACAGAAGGGACCTAAACCATTTCCTTACCCTCCAAGATGTGACAACAGTTCTGTGAGGTACTGGATCTTACCTACTCTCTACAGTTGAATGTCTTGGCATACCTGGCAATGCTTTGCTTCCAGCCTGTCTGTTAGCTGGTGTGTTGTGGCCTAGTAGAGGGAGACATGTGAGAGAAGACTCCTCAAGCTGTTCTATGCACCCTTCATGTCAGGGTCCTTCTATGCACCCTATATGTCTGGCAGTGTGGCTAGAACTACAGGAAAGTGTCACCTCTTTGACCACCTCCACTCTTTAAGCCGAGGTCTTTCAGGGCCACATACATAGGCAGAGAGCAGTAAGAGTGAATTATATGAGGACCTGGAACAATCAGCAACAGCTCCAGAAATTCAGGAAGCCTATAATGAGAAGGGTGGGTCACCTAAGACACAAAGCACTGACATGGGGATGGCCTTGAACATAGAGAGTGCATGCTGTGATCTCCTGATAGCCTCCATCCCATTGCTAACCCACTGATTTGGGACATTCCTTACCCAGACCAACAGTCCAGGAAGACTGCTACACCATCAAGAAACCATCAGCAGTGAGCTGCTTCTTCAGGTGGTGTTGGCTGGGTCAACTTGGGTCCTTACTGCATGGGGGCCATTGAAGGCTTTGAGTACATTACATGCAAAGACAACTTCTGAATGCATTTCAGGATATTGTGGGACAGTATAGGCACTTCGCCTTGTTGGCCTCCAAGGTGTAAAGCAAGGTCGACAGAATCACAAGTGGAATCCTTTCCTTTTGGTGTTTCCAGCACAAACTTTGAAGGGGTAACAATCTCCCCCTCCCTCCTCAGAGACTAGGCCTACCTGTGCATGCCTCTCTTGCCTCATTTCTTCAAGACTGTGTCATAGGTGGTGCAGCTAGGTCACTTAGTTAATAGGGCAAGTCAAGACACTGCTTTACAGAAAACCAAGTGTCAAAGCCAGGGGTTCAAAGTAACCCATAAATCACAGAGCTATGAGGCAAGACTGGGGATCAGGCTAAGCTGGAAGCCTAAGCCAAATTTCAGGGTAAACCAGGAATCAAAGACAGAGTTAGGTAAGCTAAAAATCAAGCCAGATTTTAAGATAAAAAAGCAGTCAAAGAACTGCAAAAGTAGTCAGGACGCTGAAGCAGAATCTTTTCTCAAACAGCCTGCTGCTGTCTTGGGGCATGCTTTTAAGGGTGAAGCAGGTTGATCCAATTTCCTGCAGGTTCAGTTATGACTATTTGGGCCTAGTGCCCAGATCTGGCTCTTTACATTATGAAGCAGTACCAGGATGCCAGGAAGCTGTTCAAGTACCAAGCAAGGAGATGCTGGATAAGCAAAGAATATGGCTGTGGGTGCCCCAAAGCAGCCTGGAGGGCACTGTGGTTTGACTGGATACTAGCAAATACTGCTGCCCCAGATGATCATTTTAATCTGCATCTTGTTATACAGACATGGGGTGAGGTGACATAATCTGGACAAAAGGAAGGATAAAGGAAGGGGCAGTGTGCTCCATACAAATGGCCATCATGTGGCCCAATATTCATCTCATAGATTCCTTGACTCCCAGAGGAGGGGAGGAGTCCCTGAGGTCAAGTGAGAAGTCAGCATTGTGTTCCATTGTGTGAGTGGTTTGAGGGCTAGAGTCCCACAAAGCCTTGCTTTCCCACAAGTTAAAGAGCCCCCAAACCTGTAAGGTTAAGGCTTGCAGCTCCTAACTGCACACCCTTGGCTCCTTTGCTAAGGGTGTTATTCCAGGGCTCCATCCTGTGTTTGAGCAGGAGCTTTGTTTCCTTGCAGCATGGCAGGCCTGTTGGGGGTCATGTGACAGTCCTGTGTTCTCTGGGAAGGAATTGAAGAAGCGCTTGGCCAGAAGACAAGCTCTCAATATGGCCACGATGGCACAGGGAAGGTTTGAGCATGGGAGGCTGAAGGCTGTGGCTGATTTGCAGGAACAGAATGGCTAGTGAGGACTTGCATGTGAAATGAAAGTTTGTAGGCAGGTGTGGGATTTATGGAGCTGATTGTTTGGACCACTGGTATTTGAATCCAGAGCAGCCAAGCCAGCAGGCAGAGGCAAAGTCTGTGATGTCTCACAGCAGCTGGTCAGACACCAGCCCAGCCTAGCACGATACCTCCCATGAGTACATTGAAGAGTAGTCAGGCAATCAGGAGGAAGTTATGGGAACCACAAGTCCTTTACTGGGGGATTATAAGACCCCTTGTACTTCGTTTAAGAATTGTTCCAGAAATAACATGCCCATGTGTGCTTCTTGATTTCTGAGTCACTCCATCCTGACTGGAGCCCTGTGGTGAGCCAGCATTGGCTGTCGCTTATAGCATAGAGACTGATTTTGGGCCACAGACGCCCAGATCATATTTTAAGGACTGAGCTAACTAATCGGCAGCTGCAGAGGCTCAGTGGGAACAAAGCCACAGTTGAATCAAGGCCAGTTGAGAGGATGGCTACTATCACAGTTGCTATAAAGAACACATGCCATTAGAGCCATCAGAGACTCCTGACGATATCCATGTCTGTTGGAGCCCAGATTCCAGTTCCTACCTTATTTGTACCTCCTTGTTATGTTCTACTATTTTCCCTGTCATCAATATCATTTTAGCCCTTCCCCAGAAAACTCAGATTGCAATGGATGCCAGCTTGCCCATGGTAGCCCGTTAAGTGATTGTCCAGGGCTTAATCACTCTTGACGCCCATGAGGTTTGGGTGCTTCACCTAGTTCTGTTCATCTTCAGACTCATCTCTCTGTCCAGAAATTAAAATGCCCAAACTTTGAATTCTTAGCATTTATACACCAATAGGGATTCTATTCACTGTTTCCGATTGGACACCCTGAAATGGATGAGGCTGTAAAAACTCTGTCCAGAAGCACTCTGTCCAAATTCACAGATGACACCAAACTATGGGGTACAGTAAACACAGTGGAGGGCAGGGAGCAAATCCAGGTGGATTTGGGTAGACTGGAGAAGTGGGCAGATTAGAATAGGATGCAGTTTAACAAGGAGAAGTGCAAGGTGCTGCACCCGGGGAGAAAGAATCGCCAATACACCTATAGACTAGGAAGTACAATTCTGAGTACCATGGCAGTGGAAAGGGATCTCAGAGTCTTTGTCGATGCAAAAATGAACATGAGCCACCCATTTGAAGAGGTAATAAGTAAGGCTAACTGCACTCTTTCTTGCATTAGTAGGTGCATCATGAACAGGTCTAGGGGAGTGATACTTCCCCTCTATGTGGCATTGATCGGGCCACAGCTGAAGTACTGTGTCCAGTTTTGAGTGCTGCACTTCAAGAGGGATGTGGATAACCTTGAGAGGGCTCAGAGAAGGCCTACTCGTATGGTTGAGGGCCTGTGGGTAAGATCCTATGAAGACAGACTGAGGGACCTGAATCTCTTCAGGCTCCGCAAGAGAAGGCTGAGAGGTGATCTTGTGGCTGTCTACAAACTCATCATGGGGGGTCAACAGGGAATAGAGGATACTCTGTTTACTAGGGTGCCCCTTGGGGTTCCTAGTAATAATGGCCGCAAACTAAAAAAGAGTAGAGTCAGATTGGATTCATTTGCAAATATACCAAGAGTGTAGTTCTGCTCTTATTTAGTGACCTGAGCATGACATTCTGCCTTTCCTGATCATCAAAGTGTGTATTTCCTTTCTACTGACTGGACATTTTTGGCACTTAAGTACCAAGAGGAATTCTATTACTGGATGAGTAGCTCTGTTCAGATGGATTACTATGCTTGAGTACAAAATTGCATAAACTAAATAGGAACAATAGCAGCCATAGCATAGACACTTCATGGATTTACAATGAATTTAGATGTCTGAAAATGGAATCAGACAAAAAACAGATTACCAGATTACCCCAATTAGTCTCAGAAAAAGAAAAAAAGGTAAAATAAGTGTTTCGCACTTGCCACCACATTTTAGCGTGTTGGTTCTCACTTGACTTCTAGCACCCTCTTCACATAGAAGAAGGCTTGAACTTGGGGCTCTCACTTTTAGCACAGAACTATAAGCACCACACCATAGGCCAGCAAATACTTAATCTCTCTTCCACTGTCCCCGTGATCTTGAACAGTAGCTTGAACAGTGAAAACTAGCTTGAACAGTGAATCATGCCTGGCCTATAGCATGATGGTTAGTGTGTTGTCTTGGGCAATCAGACCAGGTTTAAACCACCTCTGGGGAAAGGGAACCTAGAATCCATATACTTTCACTTCCTAAGCAACTCACCTTAGCCCCTCACATCCTTGCAGAAAAAAAGTCTCTTATTTTTTTGTGGCTGGTCTGGTGAAAACAGTCACTCATGTGCATTCAGGAATAAAACTCCCCTGGTCATGCCACCATCAAAAATGCCTGGCAGATGGCCAAGAATGGCATCTTATAGGATCTAGAAAAAATAGGCTGTTACCCAAAGCGTTTAGATGTTGTTGCCTACATGGTCATGAATGTCAAAAACATCACTAACGCACAGATTGGAATTCTACTTCTGCATGGGTAGCCCTGCCTGTGTGGCTGAGAATACAAACTGGGAGACTGGCCACTACTAACAAAATGAGGGAGAAACACGTTTTATTTCCCTCCCACAATACCTTAATGTGAAGGACACTTATACAGGAAGCTAGATGATTCAGCCAACTATTTATGCATTTTTACAGTACTTTCCTGTAAGGTGCGTTTTTTTAGCTTGTTAATAATAATGTCATGTGTGAGGGAGACAGAGAGGAAGTAAGGGATGACCAGCATCCCGAACTCACTGCGGCACGAAGCAGCACTGGGAGCAGCATGCTATAAATGCCGTGGCACTTACAGGGCAGTGTGAACCTCCAGATTGGTGAGGGCAACTTCAGGAGCAGTATTTCTGGCCCTGCAGAGGGGCACCATGACAGCAGTTGGTCTCTTTCTTTCTCTATCTTTGCTGCCAACATTATAGTTTATGCCAGTGTGGTGAGCCAGCATTGGCTGTCGCTTACAGCATAGAGACTGATTTTGGACCACAGAGGCCCACATCATATTTTAAGGACTGAGCTAACTAATTGGCAGATGCAGAGGCTCAGTGGGAACAAAGCCACAGTTGAATCAGGGCCAGCTGAGAGGATGGCTACTATCACGGTTGCTATAATGAATGCGTGCCATTAGAGCCATCAGAGACTCCTGACGATATCCATGTCTGTTGGAGCCCAGATGTGGTTAGGATGGAGTAAAGGGGAGTTTTGGAGCCCCAAGAAGAGAACAGGGGAAGATCCTGGAAGATCTCCTATGAGGAACTGCCTCCCATAAATTACACCAAAGTCATAGCAGGTGAAGAATATAACATCATGTAGGCAGACTGAGCGACCTGGTTGAGGCTCCACCCTGGTGCAAATGGTAGAATGAGATCCCTGGGATGGGGTCTCAAACCATGTGATACCTACAGATGGTACATCTTGGTAGACAGTGTCAAAAGCCTTGCTAAAGTCAAGGTATGTTACAACCACAGCTTCACCATCCACAGAACCTGTCACCTTCTCAAATAAGGAAATCAGGCATGACTTGCTTGGCGAATACATGCGAGCTGTTCCTTAGCACCTTGTTCTCCTTTTGGTGCTTCACAATAGATTCCTTGAGCACCTGCTCCATGATCTTTCCAGGTATTAAGGTCAGGATGACTGGTTTGTAATTCTCCAGATCTTCCTTCTTCCCTTTCTCAAAGACGTGCACTATGAATTCTCTGTTTCAGTCATCTCGGACCCAACCTCTAAGAGATCTCAAAGAATGTAGTCTATACTTCTGAAATTACCTCAACCAATTCCTCAAATACCAAAGGAAGCTTTCCATCAGTGCCTGCCAACTTGAAAGTCAGGAACAGATTTATCTAAGTAATCACTCAATCGTTCTTTTAGTACTCTAGGTTGTTTGTGAATCTCTCTCTCTTTGCTGGGAACAGCACTCATCATCTGGTAGCTTCCCCTTTTGGGAAGACTGAAGTAAAAAAAAAAAAAAAGTCTGAGTCTAAAATAATTGTGCTATAATTTTCTTCTCCAGAACTGTGTTTAAATTAATAATTCTCAACATTGGTTTACTAAATTTCAACATCCTCAGGTCCTGATTTCAGTCTGCCTATGTTGGATTTATTTTGTACAGATAGGAAATATATTCTGGCCTTAACTTACTTCACATTGAGGACTGGTTTATGGAGTCTCCACCAAAATATTTAGTTTTTACCCCCACCCTGCCCCACCCCTCTCCCCCGAGTTGTTATGTATGGTTCAGACTGACTGAATGTTGTATTAAAAAAGTGAGACAACTGAGGCGTCAGCTCTTCTAATCAGCTGTTTTGTGACCTCCACCTACTCTGGTTTGTGCTACATGCCTGTCACCTTGTTTCCTTGTGAATTTCTGAGTGAGGTAGGATATAAAATACGTTTTTTCAAGTACTTCAGGAACAAGGTGTTTCCGATCAATTTTAATGCAATAGAATTTAATTCCCCTACATTTATCATCCAGAGATCAGAGGCTGATTACTAAACCACTGGATAAACATATTCTGGGATCTATCCAGAGCCAATTTTACTGGTACAGGTGTTTGGTTTATACAGTATATTGAGTTAATTGTTCATTGAACTGACATCCAAATAGATTTAAAGTAAAGATAAATTCAGGCTTCATTGAAATAAATTAACTTGATCTAAACCATGTTTTAAAGTCTCATTAAAACACTTGTGCTGGTCCTTATAATGTCATATTATATGCATTCACTGGCATGCCATATTTTGATATTTTTAGAATAAAATACATTGCCATTTGTGTTAAAGCATCATCCAAGAACATGTGCTCAGAACGTCCCAATACTTTGAGTCCCATACTTCTGTATTTTTAAGAGAAATTATTTTTCATTAAAAATATTGAAAATAACTGTTTACCATTGTATTCTATTTACATGAGTCGAGAACTTGATTTTTTGCTTGAAAATTCTGCCCAAGGCTGTTTTTACTTCTTTATTTTTTAGACTATAGATGATGGGGTTTAACATGGGGGTTAAGATGCTGTACTGGATGGAGAAAACTTGATCAAGGATCACTGAGGAACTGGAACTGGGTTTCATGTACTGAAGAAAACCTGCTGTATACCATAAACCCACCACAATGAGGTGGGAACTGCAGGTGGAGATCGTTTTACGTCTACCCTCCGCAGAGCGTATCCTCAAGATGGTGAAGATGATATGTATGTAGGAAACCAATGTGAGGAGGAAAGTGCCAATACCAAGGGTGACAGCAGAAGAAAGTAGAGCTATTTTGTTTGTGAATGTCCCAGAGCAGGATATTGCTAGTAGTGGGGGAAGCTCACAGCTGAAATGCCCAATTTTATTGGACCCACAGAACTGCAACTTGAATACAGGAACCGTGTTAACAAGTGAATACATGAGACCTATTGTCCAGGATCCACCCACTAGCTGCCTGCACACCCTTTTGTTCATAGTCCTGGCATAATGCAGGGGGCTACATATGGCAGCATAGCGGTCATAAGCCATGGCTGAGAGCATGGATAATTCACAAGTACCTGAAAGAAGTATAAAGAACATCTGGGTAAAGCAAAGACTAACAGAAATAGATTTATGCGTTGCTAGTAAGTTTGCCAGCATCTTCGGGACAGTGACTGAGGAATAGCAGATATCGACAATGGATAGATGAGACAGGAAGAAATACATGGGGGTATGAAGATGAGAGTCAGCTCTTATCACCAACATGATGGCAGCATTCCCTGCTAGGGTGATTAGGTATATCACCAAAAACACGCAGAACAGTAAAATTTGGAGCTGTGGGTCACTGGAAAGTCCTAAGAGAATAAACTCAGTGGTTTGGTTTTCCTTTCCTAGGTAGTGACCTGTAAGAAGAACAAAATACTTGGAATTAACATAATGCCCGTGAGAGGAATTTCCATAAGACAGAAATAAATATAGACAGACAGATGGACTCCATGATAATTTCAAAGTCAACTAATTGGTTTGAATAGGCACCCAACTGAGAAGCAGATTTCCAGCTCACGATAATTTCACATTTAGAAATTTGGTTTTTCTGCAAATTTCCTTTTCAAATTGTGTGATTCCCAGCATGCTGCCTAAGTGACAAAGGTATAGATAGAATATCTATACAAAGGTATAGATATATACCTATATATATCTATACAAAGGTATAGATATTCTGCTTTGCAACTGCGAGCCAATGTTCGTTTAGAGCCAGACCCATCAGGGCTTTCAGGATTGTGTCTCCATAGCAAGAAACACGCAGGTCCTATCCTGATGATGGTCAAGAACTGGGCACCCTAGAATCTTGGTGAACCTGGACCTAGGACACTTCATCTGATGGCACTTTCTTCAAGTCAAGCCATATAGGAAATGAACTGGGTGGACATTTCTTTGAGAAGGAAAGAGATCTGCTGCTGCCTTCTGGCCCAGAGGAAAGCAAGGAAGCAGCAAACATCCATTTTCACATAAAAGATAAGTGTTTCAAAACAAACTGCAGCTCCTATTTATTCTGAGTGCTGATGTATTCTGCTCTCACTAAAATCCATTTAATCTAGTGACTTCATATTGGCCGTGATACAAATTTCTTTGTTGGGTCTTCCTCCTCTGTAGAATCAATCTCAAGTAACCCTATTATTATTATTATTGGTTCTTACTCCCTTTTTTTCCCCTGGTAACCTTAACAGACCATGTTGTATATGAAGTAAAGGAATCTGGCTACTTCAAAAGTAAGTGGAACATAATCTGAAAGCCCAGATCACTGACCTGAAACTGCTCAGACAGCCCTTGTACACATTTGTTGACCTACCAAATTGCAGGCACATGTTTCTATGGATTTTGTTGCACAGCTGAGAGCAATTCAATTTCAAACCCACTCTGAAGTTTTCCCTGTTTTCTCACTTTGACCATATACCTGAAAAAAAGAACATTATTTGTCCAGCTGTTTAATCCCATCCTAATAATCACCAAATAAACCAACACGCATTCTTCTTAATTTGTCAGTCTCTCTTATTCTTATTTTCTGGCAGCAACTTTCATTATGTATTTGTTTTGTATACAAGTCTTCATCATAACATCCATGCATTTAAATGAATTGCAAAAATCCTGCTCATTATACTGTACAACCTTCATTAATGTATTTTACAGTATGAAGTAAAACCACGTGAAGGTTTGTTTGAGTTTGGGCAATGTAGCTAACCAATAGGGAATTAAGCAAAGAAAAACATACTTTAAAATTCCTGTTTTTTCTATGTTCTAACACAGAACATAATAACATGCACACAAAAACACAGTGAGAGGTTGGTAGCTATGCAGTTTTCACTTGTTAAAAACCAGACCTTTCTTTATAGCTTTGCATCCAAACTAAAGTCAGGGACAGTTAAAACCAGATAAAACAAAATAGGAAATGGTAGAAGGAAATAACAAAATAATCTAAAAACTGAAAAATCTTTCCTAGAAAACTAAATGGGTCTCTTGGCCCAGCCCTGTTGGAGTGATTTTTTTTTTTTTTTTTAATCCATGACTATAGTCCTCTTGGACATGGTTTGATGGACTCTCTGAACCCCATGGGTCCCTGGACCCCTTGTGGGTCCCATTTTACAATAGATGTTTCAGGGCACCCTAGCCTTATGGGCTAGATGTGTGGCTCCGACTGCCCCTTTACCACGCCCCAAGCCTCACAGATGGTACTAGAATTGTCTTGCCTAGGCCTCATTATAATTCAGCCCCTTGTCCTCACTGGGCTCTCCACAGCCCTGTTTCTGTGCCCTTCGGTGCTGGGCTCTCCGCAGCCCTGTCTCTGCACTGCAAAATGCCATGCCCTCTCTGGCGCTGGGATCTGTGCCTCCCAAATGCTGTGCTCTCTCTGGCACCGGGGTCCCCATGCTGCAGTGAGCCCCCAATGAGGCCGCCTCCTTCCCCAAATAGCCTCACCCAAACCACTGGTGTATAAAATGGCAAACAAAACATAAGCCCCTGGGCTGTAACATAACACAAGCTGCATAAGGTTTGCTTGGCCCCTTTACATTACCCAGAGCAGAATTTAGTCAGACCTCTTCCCTTCACTTGCTCCAAGAGGGCTCCTTCTCCCTTGGCCACCAGCAGAGAACTGCCTCCTAGTCCCCGTCCTGGGGTTTATATGGGCCCAGGGCCCTGCCCCTTCCTACAGTACCTGTAACTGACCAGGTACAGGTGCAGGCTAATTTCCATGCAACCTGCACCTGGGCTCCTGTCTGGCTCTTTGGGCTCTTCCCAGGCAGTTTCTGCTCTTTTAGGAGCAGGCACCTAAGTGCCCTGTGACACTCTCATTCTTATTTTCTAACTGCATCCTTCATAATATCTTAGCTTGGTGTTTAAATCTTCATTGTAGTATCAGTATCCATGCCTTCAGCTTAATACCTAAAGTCTGGCTCATCATACAATACAAATAACATATTAAAAAAATCTCAAAAATTACAAACCTTTCCAGAAAGAATAAGTGGTTTTCTTTGACTAGCCTGCTTAGCCATACCTATTTGGCAAATATTTCAAATCCATGCTTTTAAGATCCCTTACAACAGAGACTTTTTTGGGGAAAAAGGACTACATTTGTCATGGTATGCAAGGCAAAAAGCAGAATTTCCATCCCTTCTGTGGAGTCTGTGGTATTGTGCACAACAGAACGCACTGCTAAAAGGACCAGAGAGAGGAAATGAGAGAAGACAAAAGGGAGTGTGACTCCATATAGGCATGATATGAAGACTTACCTAGGAGGAGGAAATTCTTGTTTCTGGTGCCTGCTCCATGGACTGCATCTGTGTTTTCCATGAAGCCGTCATTGTGAAGACAACAAGATAGAGCTGCCCTGGCTGTTTAGTCCAGAACTGATGAGACATCTACAGAAAAATGAATGCCTTTAATGCTAATATGACACTCTATTGTTTTCAGTCTCCTAGATAAACAGATATGGTCATCCAAGTCCCAGAAATCCACTTATGCACTGAGCGGAGTGTCACCTTTCTGCATAAGTGGCATTTTGGGGACTTAGAAAATCATGGACACAACCAAATCTAGTCTTTCAGAAAATAATAGAATGTCATCCTAGATTTGTGCCTCATGACTTTGGTGCTTTGAATCGTCTCCTGTGTGGTGTGAATCTGAGCCTTTCAGGCAGACAAGAGAATTCAGTATTGGTGCCTCAGGTCCTGGGCAAGTGTGCTAAACACAGAGCTACTGATTAAAAGAAAGGTGGCAACAATACCACCTCCAGCCATGTATTAAAACAAGACAGTGGATGTCACCAGATTATGTGAGCAACTAGTCCTGTGTATGTGTATTAAATGTGTTCTGAGAGCATCTACTACATTAGGCTTCTCAGAACTCCTAGGCAGAAGAACACATAGTTTCTCAATCCTGACAGGGTTTAGGTATAACATAGATGCAAAACTGCTCCTAATGTAGGACTGTCCTAAACCCCTGGGAAACTTTATACTCAAACATGCAATTGCTTAGAGAGCTTAGGCACATGGAGGGTTAGGAAGAAGGTAACACAATTGCAGCTGTGGATATAAGCACATACACTTCACCTTAATTCAAATTAAGGCACATCAGCTCTTTTGTGAATGTGGCCCAGAGGACATAGGCCTGGAAGGAACCCTGGGATTATGAGGTACAGCCCAATTTATTTTGGATACATCTATTATATATTTAATGCTCAACCTATGCAAATTTGTGGATGATTCATTTACCTTTTTGTTTCATAGTCTGACACTATCTTTTTATTTAAACAACTCTTTTAACTCCCTTGTTCTTACTCTTTGCTCCAGTATACTTGCAGAAATCCTTCCTATTCCCTGTTATACCCTTTGTACCCTAGGCCTGACAAGGCAAATTCTTTTAAACCATCCCGTTGGTCATCCTGATTGCCCTTCTTTGCAGCTGTTCCAGTTTAAATTCATTTTCCTTGAAGACTGAGAGTCAGTGTTGTATAAATTACTCTACATGTCATCTTTCCAATATCTTATGTTATATTTTCATTTTCAAATCACACACACACAAACACACACTTTCACAAAAAGAAATAAAACTATATATATTCATATATTACTCCCACACAGACTGCCACCCACTAGATTAAAGAATAAAATAAGAATACACTCACTAAACATCCATATAGAAAAAAATCATGTGATGTCTGTCCTTTAGCAGAGAGAGAGCAGATTCTGACAGTCTCATTAAAAATCTACACTGTTTTCTTCAAGGAACTGTGATACTTATGTTAAAGAGATGATTTAAAGAGGGAATTAGGCAAAAGGAGAAAGAGTAACTCATAATAAACTCAATGGTTCTGTCTTCCTACCTCTCCATCCTCGATTCCTTT